TCCTTCCTAAATAGGCAATATTTTAAAATATTTTAAGGATTAGCTCTACGGATCCTAAAAGTATAAAGCCTTTCCCTATATCTATTATATATATATTTCCCGYAGGGGAATAATTACCTTACTATTATTACTTCGTAACCGAATACTAACGATAATCGYATATRTCTAGGTTATCCGCCGAATACGCGGTAATAATAGGACCYRGGGAGCGTAGAGTGCAYCTAATAAGTAATTTATATAACTTTRTACGCGTRCGGGTAATGCCTACGAGGAGTATAAGACTACTACTTRTATTCCTTCTTTATCTTTAAACACGATCTACCTTACTTTAATATCTAATATATTCTTTAACACTCCTAYAYCTTAYTATACCCTCTAACCTCCTCCCTATCTCCTAGTATAAAGYRGAATTACTACTAAATAGCTCCCTAYATRCCTAAATCTATCGACGCTAGCCTAGCTAGCCTAGAGCTATAGCGCTAGATCGACGTTCGTAGCGATAAGGTAAGAGGTAAAAGGTTAGATAATAGCGCTTAGGACTACGAGACTAACTAGTATAAACTAGCTCTAAGTAGCCGGCTTCTAGTTCGACCTTATAGCTAGCGAGCTAATAGATAAGGCTAAAGGCTCTCTCTTCCTCTACCGTACCCCCGACTTCCTCCCGATAAAGTTCGACTAGACTATAATAGCTACTCTCCTTATCTAGAGCCGGTTAGTATAATAGCTCCTAGAATTAATACCGGTAGCTAATAGCACTATAGCGGAGTTAACTAGTATAACAATCGGACGAGAGGTAGAAATAACGAGCGATACGGCCTATATATCTAGTAGAAGGGCCCGTTTAAGGTATGTCTTATTACGAGCAGCCCGTATAATAGTAGTAGAGGCTAATAATAGTAGGAGTGCGTAGTCGCGAAGGGCAGTAAGAACGATGCCTACGGAAATTACGTATATCGGAATGTCTTTAGTAAGGGTAATAAGTGCACCCTAGATCGGACAAACAAGTCTTAAATAAGTACTACGACCTTCTCTCTCTACTTTGTACGGGGGGTTTAATACGAGCAATAGTGCGTTAAATAAGTTTAAATATATAGTAGATTTTTATTTTTAGTTTTCTTAACTTTTAGAACCTCTAAATATCTTTAAATTGCATTTAAATCCTTCTTTACGACCTTTTTACCTATAAATATCCCTTCGCTCTATATAATTATACTACTATTATTTGCTATAGTCGAATATACCGTAGTCTACTATCCTACTATCGAGAAGACGCTACCCTAACCCTAACCCGGTCCTATTTTTACCGAGGTTTCTACTATTACGCTACTTGCTTATTACCTTCTATATCTTCCTCCTTCTATTCTACCTATTATACGGCTAGCGCTATTATTATATATAACTATAGGACGTCTACCTAACATTTTAGTAGAGCTCCGACCTAAGGTTATTAAGCTATAGAACGATACTATAAGTATTACGGAGATATAGGCATACCTCGAGACGTAAAACGTCGTCGCCTCCGAACGTACGATCCGTATAATCGTATCGCTTAATAGTAGGAATCGCCGCTAGTCCTTAATCGCCGACCTTCGTAACGACCTCTCCCTCTATATCCGGATCGCCGACCTCTTTTACCTCTAAGCGTTACTAGATCCGTTTATTATAGACGAATTAAAGAAGGACGGTTACGATATTAAACACACTACCTTTATACGGCTACGTCGGTAGCTCGGCCTTAAGTTACGCATCCGTAATATAGAGTTTACGGAGCGTAAGAACGAGTTCCTTAATCTCGTCGTAAAGGAGCTTAATTGCTCTAAGATCGATACGTATAGTAAGGTTCTCCTATAAACATACTTCCGTATAACCGACCGTATAAGGATTACGCTTAGCAGGTGGGTATAATAGTACGCCTTATAGTTTCGGATTATACTACTACTCCTATATATAGTAATAGCTAATAAAGTCCGTAGGCGCCGCTTATACGAACTAGTCCGTAAGGTCTACCTAGTAGGGGCGTATAATAGATCCTCTCGATTTACGCGCCGTCGAGGTATCTATACTACGCCTAGGCCGGACTATTATTAGAGTATAGATGCTTACTATAAGCTAGAGGACTATAGATTTCAAATCTACGCTACTATTAACGCCGATATAAGATACGTTTTATACTAGTATTTAGGTCCTTCCGCCCGTATAATAGTGTCTATCTTATCTAGTTTCGCTTACGCCGCTAAGAAATATAAACGAGTATCTTATAAGATTCGTATAGATAAGGGGAAGGAGACTATACTCCTTATATAGGCGTAATACGAATACGCGAAGAGGACCCGTTAGTATAAAGTGCGCTTCCGGAACTGTTTTATTTTCGGTTTAAGTACTCGCAACGTTCGAGTTAAGGCCTAGTAGGGCTAGCTTACCCGAGGGCGGATAAAGAAGTAGTATATAAGTCTAAACTACCTACTTCCTATAGCGCGACTTCTACTTTATATTATACTAAGCCTTAGGTACACGAACTTAACGCTTACTACTATAGGTCTTCTTTGCGAAATACAAGAAATCCGGCTAGTTCTACAAATTAAAGCGGTCCGATCGCGTAGTAATAAAGTATATCTACACGCCGATTATGCGAGAGGAGATAGCTTCGTTTATATAGACGTAGAACCTACATCCGATCCGGAAGTAACCGAACCGACCCTATATAATACCTAGGATCCCTTACTATCGATATTATTTCGCTAAGGCCTAGGGGCGTAAAAGTATTAGGCATACTATCGACGAGGAGTATATTAATAGCCTAGTAGATACCTATTCTACATAGGGTGCGTTTATATAGGCGGACGCCGTTTATATAGTTATTATATTCTTATTTTGCTAACAACTTTAGATCCTAATAAATATTTRCTACTAGTAACTCGGGAACTATATACTAATATTCTAAAGGATGTTAGGTTCGCGACCGGCCGGCCTAGCTCTTACCGCTTTATACTAGAGGTCTAACGGCTAGAGTACTAGATTACCTACGAGAACCTTATTAAATAGTTACGTAAGATGCTAGACTACTAGTTAGAGGAGACTACTATCCTAAGGGGAGGTAGGAAGTAG